GGGGCTGCGCGGCGGGGCCCGCGGGGGGCGGCGGAGGGGCGGCATGCGGAGCCCGGGCTGAGGCGCGGCGGCCGCCCCTCGCCATGAAGCGGCAGAACCTGCGGACGGCCGCGCTCATCCTCTGCATCTTCTCCTACCTGCTGGTGGGCGCCGCCGTCTTCGATGCGCTGGAGTCGGAGGCGGAGAGCGGCCGCAAGCGGCTGCTGGAGCAGAAGCGCGGGGAGCTGCGGAGGAAGTACCGCTTCTCCGCCGACGACTACCGGGAGCTGGAGCGGCTGGTGCTGCAGGCCGAGCCCCACCGCGCCGGGAGGCAGTGGAAGTTCGCCGGCTCCTTCTACTTCGCCATCACGGTCATCACCACCATCGGTGAGTGCTGGTATCCCCCTGTGCGCCCCTCCGGCCCGGCATCCCTCCGTCCCCCACATCCTTCCATCCCCACATCCCTCCGGCCCCCACACCCTTCCATCTCCACATCTCTCCGTCCCCAACATCCTTCCATCCCCACATCTCTCCGTCCCCCACATCCTTCCATCCCCACATCCCTCCGGCCCCCACACCCTTCCATCTCCACATCTCTCCGTCCCCCACATCCTTCCATCCCCACATCTCTCCATCCCCAACATCCTTCCATCCCCACATCTCTCCGTCCCCAACATCCTTCCATCCCCACATCTCTCCGTCCCCAACATCCTTCCATCCCCACATCCCTCTGACCCCACACCTCTGTACCTCCACAACCTCCCACATCTCCACAACCTCCCACATCTCCATCTGGGTGCCCCAGGACATCCCGCTGGGGTCGCCTGCGTAGTAGGGGCAGGTCTCACCCTTGCAAGGCTGGGACATCTCTTCAGGCCACCCTCCAAGCTGACCATACAAGACCCTGGTGGCCAGCGGTGGGAGAGGTGCTCCATGCTCTGAGGTTCTGGGGGGCTGGAGCAGAAGCGCGGGGAGCTGCGGAGGAAGTACCGCTTCTCCGCCGACGACTACCGGGAGCTGGAGCGGCTGGTGCTGCAGGCCGAGCCCCACCGCGCCGGGAGGCAGTGGAAGTTCGCCGGCTCCTTCTACTTCGCCATCACGGTCATCACCACCATCGGTGAGTGCTGGTATCCCCCTGTGCGCCCCTCCGGCCCGGCATCCCTCCGTCCCCCACATCCTTCCATCCCCACATCCCTCCGGCCCCCACACCCTTCCATCTCCACATCTCTCCGTCCCCCACATCCTTCCATCCCCACATCTCTCCATCCCCAACATCCTTCCATCCCCACATCTCTCCGTCCCCAACATCCTTCCATCCCCACATCTCTCCGTCCCCAACATCCTTCCATCCCCACATCCCTCTGACCCCACACCTCTGTACCTCCACAACCTCCCACATCTCCACAACCTCCCACATCTCCATCTGGGTGCCCCAGGACATCCCGCTGGGGTCGCCTGCGTAGTAGGGGCAGGTCTCACCCTTGCAAGGCTGGGACATCTCTTCAGGCCACCCTCCAAGCTGACCATACAAGACCCTGGTGGCCAGCGGTGGGAGAGGTGCTCCATGCTCTGAGGTTCTGGGGGATGCCAGGGGTGCTGCTATGGCTGGGGCCACAGAAGATGACATCCACGTTGTCCCAGGGAGGTGACAGCCCACGGAGCTTCTGCAGGCACCTTTGGGGCAGGCAGCTGCAGAAGTTGGGGGTGTAGGAAGGGTGTAGGAGAGCAGAGGTGGGAGACGCGTCCATCCTCTGTGCAGTGTTGTGGCCAGCGAGCCAGGCTGAGGAGCTGGGCAGGAACTGTTGCCTTTGTTGCCAGCTCAAAACTCTGGATGTTTGGCCGAATGAGACCTGTTTCAGGGAGCCAGGCCAGCCACCAGCCACCAAACCTCGCTCTACAGGCGCAGGAACCCACAGAGAGATGGGTCTCAGCTTGGAGAGGGGTGATTGAGCCAGATGAAACCCCCAGGTGGACACGCTTCCCCAAAGTAGAGCCCAGTGCCTTGGTTTGCCCTCTTCAGTTTTGCAAGAGAAGGAAGCTAAATTGAAGGAGGATTGCCTCAATACTAGGTGGGATTAGCCACATGGGAGCTGCGCATTGTTTAATTAATCCACTTTGATTAATCCATGCCCCAGGAGCATCCCATGGGGGCCAACAGGCGTGGGATCCCATGCTCTTGTCATCGCCCGGGCTGGGATTTCCCTCGGTGTTTTGGGGGCAGGAACCCCGAGGCCAAATCCTGCCCTTCCAGAGCCACCTCCTCGTTCTGCAGGATGGGGCTCAGCCTCGCCGAGGGGCTTGGGGTGGGTGAAACACGGCTGGTGGCTGAGAGCATCATCCCTCAGGACATGGGCTGGTGGGATCAACTGCACCGTGGGGGGACAAGGCAGAGGGGTGGGTACCCCACAGGCCCTGCTCTGGGGGGCTCCGTGTGCCCCCAGGAGGTACGATGTGGGGCTGGTGCAGCTGGCAATGCCCATGGTGGGCAAGCAGCGCTGGGCACAGGGCACAGTTAGTGTCAGGCCCCAGCAGGAGGGGAAGATGAATGGCTTCTGTGGAAGTCTCCATCATCTCGTGACAGGTTATAGCTTCATTTACATTATTTTTCTGTTGACTGGGACAAACAATGGCTACGCTTATCACACACACCAGGCAATAAATAATTTCAGCCCCGATGCCATATTTCTAAAACGCTGGCGCGTCAGATCTCTTTATGTGGGGCTGTGCTCCAAATCCCAGTTTTAATGTCAATGTAGCTGTGTTTACTCTTTCTAATTCTCTTTATCATTTCGAAAGCATCAGTCAGATGCTCTTTCAGGAGTCTCTCAGGGTACAACAACTGTTTTTCCACTTACTGCTCTTCTGGATCATTATATTTACCTCCTCGTTGCTGCCATTGTATTATCTTGTAGCCTAGGACCCGATAATTGCACATGGTTATTAAGCTTGGATCTGACTGGGCTGGGTTGGGTTTTTTTTGCCTCTGCAGTCTCATGTCTGCTCTGTATTCTGTGAAATGTGGCATGCAGGCATCCAGTTTATCATTCTTGATTGCGTGGGTTCATGAACAGACAGAGCAATTAGAAACCAGTCCCTTCCTGATGGCTTGCAGTTTGGGGCACGATGGGGATAACCCTGTCCTCAGCCCCCCAGCCCCGTCCCCATTGCAGGAGTTTCTTGGAGCGGGAGGTGGGCTCGGGAGCTTGGGACGACGTGGGTTTCATCCCCTGGTGGTCCCATCACTGCTTCCTTAAGAGTCCTGGAAATCTGCTGGCAGCAGAGACAGAGGTGAAGCCAAGTCACAGCTTTGAGCAAGGCTGAGAAATTAAAAAAAAGGGCATTTTCCCCCCACGTTCTTCATGCAAAAGTCACGTGGATACCTGGAAAAAGTGAAAATATAGATAGCTGGTTGCATCTAGCGTGGGCAGGAACGGGAGCTGTTCTGTGGGCGCTTCCAGAAAGGAAGTTTTCAGCCCTGGTAGTTTCATAAAGAAGCTCAAAAGAAAGGCTTGGATGCCTTTGGATGCCGTTACTCCCCACGCTGCCTGACTCCCTTGCGCTGAGTTCGTTACTCACCCGCTTCGGTCAGAGGCCACCGGTTCCTGGTAAGTTTGTATAACAAGGTGAGGTGGGCACAGGAGTCCGGAAGAACGTGGTGAATAGCTCATTACCACTCAGGGTGTTAATTGTGTGTGTCCTTGAGTCACAGCTCTGAGACTTGGAGCAAGGTGGGGAAATTAAATCTCGGAAGGCGTTCGAGGAGAACCTTGTTCCTCCTTGTCCCAGGGACAAGGGCTGACAGGGCTGCGGTGGCACAAATACCTCCCTGCATGTCAAACAGCACAACCCTCCCTCCCTAACGACCTGGTGCTGCTTTTGGCCTGAGCCTTAGTGACACTGGAGAAAATCTGGAGTTGCTCTGCAGAAGTCCTCCCAGACTGAGCTGCTCCTGCAGGGTCTGACCCCATAGATCCCACCCCACAGTCCACGCAGCGAACGGTCACGCAGGGGAGAGTCAGATGCACGGGACACTTGGGGACAGGGGACAGGAGGGGGTGCCGAGGGGACGATGGCTCTGCAGGGTGGTTGTGGAGGAGCCTGGCTGGTTGTGTGCCTTCCCGCAGGGTGACGGGGCTGTTGGTGTCAGTGTTGTGTGGAGCATCCCTCCTCCCTCGCTGCAGGGGTGCAGGTCACCCCCCAGACCATGGCATCACTGCCTCTAAACGGCTGGTGACCTGTGGAAGGCCTGCAGACCCCAGCCCAGCTCTACGGCTGCTCTTGGCCTCCTCATCCAAGCTCAGGGGCTCTCAGGGTGGACCTTCTCTCTTTAGAGGCCAAATGGGGCTCTGCCCACATCATACTGCGATGTCCCATCATCCCAAAGGATGTGGCATCCCATGGTCCCTGTTACTGATGCATTTTCCACCCCTTCTCCTGCTGCTCCTCTTGGTCCCGGGGCAGCTTTGGTGGAAACCCCAGTGAGAGCTTGACGCCTGCCTTTCCCCTTCCCCCGGCAGGGTATGGACACGCCGCCCCGGGCACGGATGCTGGCAAAGTTTTCTGCATGTTCTACGCCATCCTGGGCATCCCCCTGACCCTGGTCATGTTCCAGAGCCTGGGGGAGCGCATGAACACCGTCGTGCGGATGCTGCTCAAGAAGATCAAGAAGTGTCTGGGCATGAGGACAACCAACGTCTCCATGGAGAACATGGTCCTGGTCGGCTTTCTGTCCTGCATGGGGACCCTGTGCATCGGCGCAGCAGCCTTCTCGTACTTCGAGGGCTGGACTTTCTTCCATGCCTATTACTACTGCTTCATCACCTTGACCACTATCGGCTTCGGAGACTTTGTGGCTCTGCAGAAGAACGAGGCTTTGCAAAAGAAGCCGCCGTACGTGGCTTTCAGCTTCATGTACATCCTGGTGGGCCTGACCGTCATCGGCGCCTTCCTCAACCTGGTGGTGCTGCGGTTCCTGACCATGAACTCGGAGGACGAGCGGCGGGACGCCGAGGAGCGAGCCTCGCTGAGGAGAGCCCGCAACAACATCCACCTCAAGCCCAAAGAGGACAGCCGGAGCAGCAACGCCATTTTTCTCCCCGTGGAGGACAGGACGAGCCAGATGAACCTCATCCCGCTGATGCAGGAGGACGCGGAGCGGCAGCGGCGCCAGTCGGCCAACTCGGCGGCCGCCGTCCCCTCCTTCTGCACGTGCCTGTGCTACAGACCTCAGCTCTGCGGCAGCCCCGCGCCCTCCCACCCCGAGACCCTCAGCTGCCACACCAACCCCGTCTATTACAACTCCATTTCCTACAAAATCGACGAGGTGTCCCTGAGCACGCGGGGGCAGACCGGCTCGTCCCCCGGGAGCACTTTATCATCCAACAGCCCTCGCTGCCGGCGACACCCCCGGCTGAGGAGGAAATCCATCTAGGAGCACGTGCCGAGCTGCTCTCGGCGCTCGAGTCTTACTACGGTGATAAATTATGAACATCGGGTCCTTCTTAGCACTCTCCTTTCTTCTGCTCCTCTCCCCTTCCAGCTGGCAGCCAGCCCCACGCAGGCGCCTTGAAACCCCGGTGAGAAATAACCATTCCTTTTCGCAGGCACGGAATTACACCCTTAGTTGTATTAGTTTTCTTTGCTTTTTCCTCCCAAGTACGTTCCAGCGTTTGGGTCTGGGAAGAAGCCCCCCCGACGTGAAGGCTGGCAGGCTGGGGGTTTGCTTCCCCACCTCCCTGCTCCCCAGAGGGAAGTGTCGCTGCCCCCAACCCTACCCACCCTTGGCTGTGGCCACGGCCAGCACCCACCTCTCTGGATGGCACTTGCTGAGAGCCCACCAAATCCTGTGTTAGCAAGCCCCTGCAGGGCTGGGGATCTTTTAAGTTCTCCCCTGGCAGCGGGTGCAGGTAAGTGGGTGCCACGCAGCAGGTTTGCAGCTGGTGGGTGGGTGGGCAGGGAGAGGTGGGCAGGAGGGGACGGGCTGTGGTCCTGCTGCTCAGGACACGAGGACAGCTTCGTGGAGTTGTTACCTCCTGTCACCAGCTCTCTGGGGCTAAGCTCAGGCTTGTGGCTGGCTCAGGACTTTGGGCAGCTGGAGGTCGACACACTCACCCACTTGGCTGGTGGGATGCAGCGTCCCATTCCTGGGGGAAGCTGAGCTCCTCCAGCCCAACCACAGCCTCCTCTGGGATGAGCCTGGACCCTGCTGAGGGCACAGCCCCAAGGAGAGTCTCCCTGACCTCTGGAGAGCCACCTGCAGAGGGTTTGGCCCTGATGAGGTCATTAGCTAAAATCACCCTTTCCCTCACCACCTGTCCCCCAGCTGCCAGCCCGGCGTGTGTGGTGGTTTGGGTTTGTGCTCCTCGCTGCCGGGGTTATGAGAGACGGGGGGAGCCCATCACACCGTGTCCCCGGGTGGGATGTGGTGCCCACACACCCCCACCTGGGAGGCTGTTCCCAGCTGGTGTCCCCCAACATGGCCCACGTCCATCCTGCCCCATCTGCAAGGAAACAGGACTGGGCTCTGACAGTGGCAGCAGCTCTGTTTCACTTTTTTTCCCCCAATAAGGGGACATTTCCACTCTTAGTTCTACCTAAAAGACCCTCTGAGGGCGTTTTCCCGGGGGAAAGTCCCCTTTTCCCAGTGGGGAAGGCAGGCAGAGCGCCGGCGTTGGGAAGGCCTCAGGGCAAGCTTTGCTCTCTCTCTTCTTTTTGTTCTGGGCAGTTTAATAAAAGGTGAATCCAGCTGGTGGTGGTTGGTTATTTGTCACGAGGGTGAGAAAAGGGACGTGTCTGAGCCCCAAACCCTGTCCCTGCCCGGCTGCTGGGGTACTCCAGGGCTGGCTCCCCTGCCAGGGGGTGTGGGCAGTGTTTATATCCAGGGATATCACCCCTGGGGTGTTTGCTGGGATGTTTGGGAGGAGAGGGTCGGCGTGGCTGTCCCAGAGCTGGGAAGGAGCTGGGAAGGAGCTGGGTCTCGTTGCCCATCATGGGATGGTGTCTTTGCTTCCACATGGAGATGCCCTGGGTTCCTCCACCATCCCCAGACACTGACCTTCCCCTTTCCAACCTTTCCTGGTGCTTGGGCTTCCTTGGGGGCAGCTTTGATGTCACCCCAAATCCGTGAAGGCTTGTTAGGATTGGGACTTTCTTGTTCCAGACTCTAAAATGGCTGGGATTTGGGCTCGGAGACAGGTGATGCCCAGGCAGGCAAGCTCAGGGATGGGCAGGAGGCCCAATGGCTGGGGCTGGCAGAGAGCAGGGCAGTGCAAGCCGTGTGGGGCTGCAGTGGGGCTGCCACGCTGCCGGGGGTAGGTGAGGGGGGCTCCTTGACGGGTCACTTGATTTGGGGGGGATGCCCCCTGCCAGGTTCTCCACCTGGAGATCCATCCTCCCTGCCCACCCCTGGCAGCAGGGCTCTCGTGCAAGATGCTTGCCCCTTCCCAGCTTCAGGTTGTCCCCTTGCCCCAGGGAAGGGACAGTGGCAGAGCTGGGAGCATGGCCCGAACCCACAGCTGGTCTCTTACCACCAGAATGCCCTGGGTGCAGCTCCCCCCAAGCTCAGCAGCTCCATCGCTTGGCACCAGAAGCCCCAGATCTGGACCAAGATGTGGGTCTTGGTTTAAATAGAAAGGGGAAGGAAGAGGTGTGGGGGGAAACGGGCGGTGAGCATATAAAACAGGCTTAAAAATGAGGCTTTCACTGGCTTCTCAGCAGCATCATTTCATGCTGATCCCACCAGCTCGGCCTCTTTGTCTCCATGTCCCACCTCCCCGACCCTCACCAAGGCTGTCAGCCTGGGGCTGGGAGGGCTGTGGTGGCCTTTGCCATCAGAGCTCTGCAGAAGACACATCTCTCACCCCTTCTGTGCCAAACCTGGGACACCCTCCCAGCGGCCAGGAAGGAGCTGGCACCTCTCACCCCCCTTCCACTCTCCTGCTTTTGGAGGCTGGTGATGGTCTGAGGGTGGGAGATGCCACTCATGCCCAGTGCCATGCTGGGACATGCTAGCACCACTGGAGAAATCCTCCTCCTCCTCCTCCTTCCTCCACCACCGCTCCCCCCGGGGCTGCAGCCAGGGCTGGGGGGTGGCTGGTGGGGAGCTGCCCCATGATCTGCAGAGGGATTTGGAGGCATGAGAAAAACCTTTAAGAGACCCTCAGTGAACTGGGACACCGTGACACCTCGTAATCCCCATGGGAAAAGGGCTTGTGGCGGCTCCCTTGGGAAGGCAGCCTGTTCTCACCACCCCCTCCTGCAGACCCCCACAGCAGGAGTCACCCCAGAGCCCCCAGACCCCTGCTGGAGGCCCCCCAGGACCAGGCAGTAGCTGCACACCCAGTAACACCCATGGGTCTCCTTCCCCGAGGGTCCCCAGGCTCCCCCCGGCCCCACACGGACTCCTGGAATTCCTGACAGCCCGGGCCAGGGATGGTTTTTCTGCCAGCAGCATCTTCACCTCCAGGGTTTCAAAACCAATCTCTAGTGGCCAGTGTTGACCATGAAGGGTCTTGGGAAGAAAACGGCAGGAGCAGAAGGCTTTTGACTGGGGTACTGAGCAGAGCAGAGGCTGGGAGCAGGCTTAGCTCTGTGCCTGGAGGTGCCCACAGCCACGTTCCATCTGGACTCGGCACAGGGAAAGGCAGGTTTGAAGCTGGGGTTGATGCAGAGAGGGAGGGCCCTTCACTGGAGAGCACTGGGAAGGAGCCTGGGACGGGGCTGGGACACACCAGGCTGCCTCCTCTCATTCCCTTCAGGCCCAGGGAGAAGGGACGGGCCAGCAGGAACCGTAGGTAGAAGGTACCGGGCAGAGACACTCCACAAAAACCCACCAACACACCGTAGGAAAAAAAAAAAAAGAGAAAGGTTTTATTATCACCATTATCAACGTTTTCATTAGCTTAACACTGAATTGTAAATCACTCAATCGTTACATATTGTCTGAATAAAACCTACAGACAGGAAAAAAAGTACAGCAGAATCCTCTCCCGACTACAGAGCTGGGGCCGGTCCCTCCGGCGCTGCCGGGCCGACCTCCCGCTTCCACCCAAGGCAGCCCACGCACCTCACCACCCACTCGCCCACGGGGGCCAGCAGGCTGCCCAGCCCTACTGCCTGCCTTCCCTCCGGCTCCACGGAGATCACATCTCGCTGGAGGACTTTAAAAAAACCTCCAAAAAGTTTTGGAGAGGGTTACAGAGGCCAAAAAAAAGCAGAGCAGATCAGCTGCCCCCGCTCCTACGGAAAGGCAAGAGGGAGAGGTAGCAGCCGCGTGGTGCCCCTGCCAAGCTATGGGTTTTCCTGGAGCAATTAGTGAAGTAAAAAGGTTTGATTAACCCTGTGAAAGCAGATGTCCCTACCGTGGTCGGGCTCCAAGGGTACAAGGCAGAGCGCTGGGACGCTGGGGCCGGGGAGGAGAGAGCACGGATGGGGCTGGAGGTGGTGGCTCCATCCCCGAGCAGAGGCCAGCTCTGCAGCAGCGCCCCGGGGCTCCCCGCGGGATGGAGATGCTGCGGGCGGGCTCGGTCCCCTCGGGTTGGGATAAGGCCTCGTCTCGAGAGGGAAGGGAGAACCCACGTAGGGAGCAGCTCAAGGGAAAGCAAAGGGAAGCTGGAGGAAAGCGTGCTGGGAGCTCCCCTCCTCCCCCGGCCGGCACGGAGCCAGCTCCCCCCAGCCTGCGCCGAGCCCCTGCAGAAGACACCCAGCTCCTACCAAGGATGGGAAAGGAAGGACCCCCTGTGGCCTGACTTGCAGGGCTATCAAAACAGGGACACTGGCATCCCAGGAGGGTGGCAGGCCATGGCAGTGCTGCGGAGGGGGAGCGGGTGAGGCACTGCATCCCTGGGATGCCCTTTCCAGCCGGCACAGGGAGCAGGAGGAAGGAGAGCTCAGCGCGGTGAGGCTGGGGGAACGGGCCTTGGATTCACCCTCCAAACCTCGCTCTTCCTTGCTCCAAACAAAGCCAGAATCAGCTCCGGGGCGAGGAGATGGAACCACCAAAGCAGAGACCAGTGAGCAGCACTGGGTAAGGAGCAACAGCCCCAAAGGAAAAGAAGATCTGCTGCCGGATTTAAAGTTCCAGGCTGGTGGTTAGTGGGATGTGGAGCCCCGGGGGGCAGCTATCCCAAGGAACTACAAAAACTCCTGGGAAGCTTGTGGGCATGGCTTCAGGAGAAGGTGTGCCTCAATTCTTCCCCTGGGTGGCTTCTGCCCCTGTTACACTCAGTGAGCAGAGCTCACTGCTGTCCACGCTCCCTCTTGGCAAGACGAAGCCCTTTCTTTCCTCCCCAGGCAATGGGGTCTGAAGCCCACGCGAGGTGCCCAGCACGCAGTGTAAATGCAAAGGCTTGTCTGCTGACCAGCAGTGGGGTTTCACAACACAGCTTTGGTTGCCATTTTAGCTACTGGAAAGTCACGAAGGGGAAAATCATCAGGTCGTAGCCTCCGTTTGCTGGTGCTCTGTAAAGGGCTGGTGCTGGCTCCTTCTCTGGTTCAGCCGCTAAAGTGCAAAGAACCAGAAGCTACAGGAAACGCTCCTCGGTTCCTCTCCTCCACCAGGACGAGAGCAGCTACCAGAGGGACAGGAGGGCAGAAGGGTGTCTACACCATGAGAAGAGCGTGGGGTTCCCCAGGAAGGAGCCTGATGCTGCTGTGGTGGGTGAGCGGCTGGGGCCAGGGACGGACCTGCGGCTGCTTGGCCACCGGGACGTTGGTCACTGAGCAGAGGGGAGTCTGGCAGTGCGAGCTGAAGACTCGTTAGCCATGTTTTGAGAATACCTAATTGCTTGCACACTCCCCGGGGAATTACCACGTTCACAGACCATGAGATCCAGGCAGGGTGCAGCAGGAGCCCAGCTCGGGGTCTCTGCCATGCTGGGTTCCACCAGTGTCCTACAGACTTGGCTGAGGGGTCTTGGGTGGGCAAAGGGCTCGTACAAGGGGAGGAGACATGGACTGTACAACCAGGCAGCCCCTTCAAAGGGGGCTCTCCCTAAGGAATTCCTTTCCCCAAGAGAACCTGGCATTTTCCAAAGCGCTACTGAGCACCGTGTGCCTGTGGACATTAGCACAGATGAACACACCTATGGACATCCACCAACATACATGCCTTGCCAGGCCTGCATTGGGGTAAAAGGGAAAAGGCTTTCACTGATCAGCCTCTTTTCTAACTTTTTTGGCTCAAATTTGGTGGCTGCAAGTGAAAAAAAAAAAAATCATTTGAGATGCTTGTTCCAGGTCTCAATACGCCCTGAATTCCTCTACTGACGGCACTTTGCATTTACACGTCCCTTTTTCTCCTCAAAGCATTTCACCAAAAAATGTGAATTATTTCATCATTCGTCGGGGCTCCCGGCGTCACCGGGTCAGCAACCTGCTGCCTGCATGGCCAGGGAACCAGAGACCTGCTGCCTGCATGGCCAGGGATCAACACAGAGATTTTCTCCTCCAGGGAAATGCTGCGAGAAATCCACAGGCAATGAACTGGGCTGCTGTTTTGAAGCCGGTTTATTTTATGCGCTGCATCAACGACAGAGCTGACTTAAAATCCAATATCCTGATCCTGCCACTTTGGAAAAATCTTTAGATGAGCCCAGCGTTAGCCAAGTTCTGAAGAACGGCACAGCACAGCCTGTTCCTGCTGTACATGTCAGGCCCCCTGTGAACCTCTGTGAAGGCGCAATCTCTCTGCCTTGGGTGGAATTTTCTAACGCGATGGACAAATGCCACCTATGAAGTGGACAAAATAACCCACAAAGCCTTGAAAGGAGAGCAGCTCAATCTGCTGCTCTGAAAAGAAAACACCCCTCCCTTTAGCTTGCCCCTGGTATCTCGAGGCAAATAGGCAGCTGTCAGGCAGAACTCGTGTGGCCCCAGAGTGCAAAGGCTTTTTTTGCTGTATCAGGGCTACAGTGGCAGTGGGAACCGTTCTCATCGAGTTACAAACACTAATAGCCTAAGAAAAACAGGGAGATTGAAACAGTCATGAAGTTTATAGCGAAACTACTTTTTTTACCTCTGTAGCATGAAGTCACCTACAGCTGTTTCATTCTTCACCTAAGAGAGATTTCATGTCGATGGGCACATACACTCACAGAGAAGTCTATAGGATGAATATATCTCACAAGGCAACGGCCCAGTCTTCGTTTTTTTTACAACCAAAGTTAATATGGATCGCTTTCAAAAGTGACGGCGTTGAGATTCAAGACAATTATAAACTGTATCAACAATATGTACTACAGCCTGCAAGTCACAATCTGTGCACACCAAATGGAATATATTATTGCTTGTTAGCCTATTAGACTTTCTTTATAAAAAGATTTTTATACAGAGTACAGGATTATGACAAAACTAGCTAAGTAGTTCTCATCTTGAAAATACAACATCAATTCTTTCAACAAAGGCTTGAATAGTAGCTGAGAGTTAATGAACGAGAACAAATATTTACTAATAATTTTATGGCCAGTTTGAACAGAATTTCTTATAGGACTCTTTTCTGGTGTTTATTTACATATGCCTCTTTTCTTTTGGAAAAAAAAAAAGTTGTTAAAATATAACAAGGAACATAGAAATCAAAAGAATGAGAAAACTTCATACCAAGAACATTAAACATTTTTGAAAACACTAAATTATGTCATCTGTTAAAAAACATACAGCATTTTGTCTTTAAAGAAAAATATTTTTCCTGTTTTAAAATATTACCAACAGCATGTAATAAACTAACTTAAAATGAATTTCATAAAAAAGTTGTCTTGCTGTCTAAACGTTACTAAACATGCTTAGGTTGAGATTCTGTTAACTGCCTCAACATCTTAAAAACAGCTCCTTTACAGGAACTTGTGATATTCATACTCCAGAAGACCTGCAAATTTAGAACAGTACATTGATAAAGGATCCGGTAGCTAGAAACACTAAATATCTATTTTCATTCAAAGCAAATAATTCTGCAATGGCCTTTGAAACAATCCATGGCCAAGAAGTGGAGATGTACTTGGCTGAACAATAAAGTCACCCAGCTCTTTCCCTGCCCGTGGACACACAGCCCCCCCATGGTGCCAAAGGGATGCTCCACCAGGACCAGGGATTGAAACGCGGAGTGAGGACCTTGGGTTGGCTCTGTGGCATCCCAGCTGTGCTGGGGCAAAGGGACAGCAACACCAAGAGAAAATACCACATGTTTTGCCTGAATAAAACCAGGACTGACCACGGCGACGGCTGCTTTTTGCCCAGACCAAGAGGACAAAGCAGCGTGCGAGGCACGGCTTCCATGCTCTGCCCTCCCTGCGCGCGGGGGATTCCACTGGGGAGAGACCATTCTGCTCTCAGCATCAGCATTTCTTGGTTTTCCACAGTAATAGTGATGCAGGTAACACTTAGGCACCAGCTCTCCCATTTTTTTTGGCAAGCAATCCTGCCATTACCATTAAAATGTAATATTTCATGCACAAGGAACAGAGAATCAACCGTGAGCTGGGCAGGTGTTTCTCTCTCCTCAGTCTCATCCCTCAACATTACGTGGACACACAGCCCCCCCATGGTGCCAAAGGGATGCTCCACCAGGACCAGGGATTGAAACGCGGAGTGAGGACCTTGGGTTGGCTCTGTGGCATCCCAGCTGTGCTGGGGCAAAGGGACAGCAACACCAAGAGAAAATACCACATGTTTTGCCTGAATAAAACCAGGACTGACCACGGCGACGGCTGCTTTTTGCCCAGACCAAGAGGACAAAGCAGCGTGCGAGGCACGGCTTCCATGCTCTGCCCTCCCTGCGCGCGGGGGATTCCACTGGGGAGAGACCATTCTGCTCTCAGCATCAGCATTTCTTGGTTTTCCACAGTAATAGTGATGCAGGTAACACTTAGGCACCAGCTCTCCCATTTTTTTTGGCAAGCAATCCTGCCATTACCATTAAAATGTAGTATTTCATGCACAAGGAACAGAGAATCAACCGTGAGCTGGGCAGGCGTTTCTCTCTCCTCAGTCCCATCCCTCAGCATTGCTCACAGACCAAAAATACGATGAAGCCTGTTTCTCTTTTCAGTCTCCTGCTCTCCCTTCTCTCCCCCTCCCTGACTGTAACTAACAGCTGGACTCAGACACAGGAAAAATACTCAGCCGGGACTTGCAAAGAGGACCCAGGTTCAGTTTTCAGCTGCTCGTGGCTCTAACAAACTGCTACTTTTGACACGACCGCGCTGGTAACCCCAACTGTCCTATCACATCACCTCAGACAGAAACTGGCAAGTCAAATTTGGGGGGAAAAAAAAACCACAAAAGGTTAGGCTTTATAAAAATAAGCTATTCTGAGCCTGCAACTTGCCTTGGATGCTATACTGGGAGCTTTTAAATTAACGGAGAACTACAAGAGCTCTTTTTGAACTCTAAGAAACCACGGTCAGTGCAGGAATCACGGGCAGGAGTGACGCAGGAATTCGGACTGCAGGGACCCTGCTCTGCTGGGCTCGCTCTGACTCTCAGCAGGGCTCCTCTGACTCTGCTTTAGGAAGGAAGATCGCCTGAGCTCGCCAGACTTGGCTGTGCATGGCAGCCAGGGGCTGCAGCGTTCACTTACTGGGGAGAAACAGGACTTGGAAGTGAGTAGAAAACAAAAGCGAGAACCACTGGACTACAACCAACCACGGGAAAAATGCAGAAGAAAACAGGACGGGGCAGGCAGTTAAAACTGCCTCCAAATTTCAGGATGTGAGATGTTAACAAAAATAACACAAGTAGAACTGTAACTTTTTTTTCTTTTTTTTTACCCTGACAGTGACCTTTTAGCGTGATTAAAAACATACGGAAGATAGTCCTCAGCGTTAAGTAACTAAACTGATCATCATGGAGCTTGCAGAGCTTTTGGAGGGGTAGGATCTAGAGACATTTGCCAGGAGAACAGGAACCGAGCTGTTCAACGCACAGCCATTAAACAAAGGCTTTGGGGGGGAATATTTTTGGCCTATATAGTCTCCTGCACCCCATTCAAGACTGCAAAAATGTTGCATTCATCTTGTTGGCCCCAGAAAACCGTGATTAACTTGCTATTACTGATAGATAATGTCCAAACTGAGTACCAACAGAAAGGTTTCAGCATAACTTAAAGACAGAAGCTCTGTCACTCAGCTGCCAGGTCTGGGATGTACCCGGAGCTCCCCACGGTCCTTTGAAAGACATAGTTATTAAAAGATCCAGTGCTACAAACCACTAAATCTACCTAATCTATTCTAGTTCATACACATATTATACAATATTGCCTAGTACTCACTACATACCAAGAGGAAAAGATGCTGACTTGAATTACAAGTAAATGTGCTTTTTTTTTTTTAAAAATAAAAATAAAAGAGAGAGCCACAACATAGTTTGACCAGCATGCAACAAACTTTCTTTAGCTAATATATAGAAATTGTCTAATACGATTAGAAAAAATAATTAGTGAGAGGCCAGAGACGTAGTTGATCAAGGAAATTAAGAGATTTCTTTGAAATGTTGAGGCTTTTGCCACTGAAGACTCAAAAAACTATTCATTCTATGTCCCTTATCCTCCTTCCCTCTCCTTTATATTATATAATTTTTTTACAGAGATTATTGTAAGGCCTATTATTTTTGCATCTATCCTGTAATTTATCTCAAAATAATTTAAAATGCCATAGACAAGCTAGGACCAAAAGCAACTGCTTTTACCATCCACTCAACGCTCATGCTTTTATTCTAACGAAGCTGAGGTCCACATGCAGAAATAAATGTTCAGAATGCCTCTACCACAGGTCACAAATCTGCTCATTCCTAAACGTGACATGGGACCTTCACTTTTAAATCACGAAGTAAAACATCTCCAAAAGCCTCTTCTGAGACAGCAGTCATCAAATCCTCACCAGGAACTAAGACAAAACCTAGCCAAAAGAGGTCTTATCAACAGAAAATCTTTGGAGATTCTCTGTGATTTTGGATAATATGCTTTTAATTGTCTGAAGGATCTAGCACACTTACTCCAGCACGTGACTCTGCTGCCAACAGCCAGGGCAGCTCAGCAGCCCAGAGAATGTGCTTTGCTGGCTCCATCTACACGACTCGTTTACAACTAGCGTTGCACTTTAATTAACAAAATATACATGCTGTGACCACTGCTTCTTCACATTCCTCACCCACCACCTCTCCAGACTTTGGGGATCGCATCTCCTCTTGCAGGACACTTGACAATGTTTGTGGACTGCCGGGACTGCCTAAAGCACCCTTCTCCCCACCAGGAAGGTGACACGTTCCCCAACACCTTCCCCTCAGATGACAAACTGAGGTTTCTTTCTTCTGCACCCCCAGAAACCTCAATCTCCTCTCCCGTGGCAGAATCAAACAGTCCTGTTTCAGGTCAGTCCATAGCACACTGGGAAGGACAGCATCTCCAGCAGATATGTACCAGTACAAAGGAGATGGAAGAAAAAGCAGGGGACAGAAGACACTGTGACTGAAGGATGCACAGCGACAAGGAAGGGAGTCAGTAAATTGCAGAACGTTGTATCTGACAATACAAAACATATCTCAAGCTGCAAGTCTGATGTTCAGCTCCCACTTCTAGTGGTTGGGTTTTTGTTTTTTGTGTGTTTTTTTTTTAACTGAGCAAAATTGCAGTTAATTAGCCAGCTAAACCCAAACTCTGTTCAAACTGTCTGGTCTAAGTAGGCGCTACTCATTCTCCCACCAAGTCTGCTTCATCAGCAGTGTTAGACAAGTAATGCAGGAAAGACACTTGCTGGTAATTTGGCACAGTTTGAAAACACAGCAACGACACCGTTACAGTTAACGTGACTCAGCGATGGGGAACTGGTTCTAAAGAAAGAGTTGCAGGTTTCTTTCTTTTTTTGCCTTTCAAGAAGAAAGGCCTTATAAAATCCTAACGCTTCCTCTTAAACTTTCTGCTCCTGCTCTTTTTAGGTCAGATATCAGCCTCTGAATTTGTCAGGTACTTTCTCGTGAAAGAATCCATCTTAGAAATTTCTAAGACGCCCGGTCATGAAAAATTCCTTCCTTACTCCCCCCAAATTCTTTCAAACGCTGCAACTTTCCAGGGTTAATACTGATCTGAAACAAAGGTCCAAGAATGACAGCGAGAGAAGTGAAACAAGAGGTGTATGTCTAATTTGACAACTAGGACTCATGCCCCACGGCACCTCCTCCTCGGATGGAGAGGGCAGAGCGCCCTCCCCCTCGTCTTCTGTCTAAGGTCACTGGTTTATCCTCCTCTTCCAGCTCCACAAGAACTGATTGAACATGCATTGCGCTTGAGGTCAGAGTTCCAGCAAACAAAACCTTGACAGCATGTTTAAAAAACAAAAGCAGTTCCCCCTTCCTCACTCACTAAGACCTGTCACAGCAGGGTCCCACTGTGCTCTCCAGGGAAAGCTGCGAGGACTGACGCAGGAGCGGGCCCGTAGTGGGATCCACCATCGAGGAGGTTGGGAAGAGCTTGTACCAGCCAATTGCTAAAGTGGACAAATCCAGTTCTTCCAGGAGGACCCTGGCGACTCCCATGAAGTGCTTGCGTTCCATCCGTCCGTAGTTTCCCCACACTATCACCTTAGGAACAAGAGGGGGAACACAGTTAATCCTCCAAATTCCACACGTGATTGGGAAGCACAAATCTGATCAATCCTTCCTTCTATTCATCCAACTTCCCGGGGCTTTACTATAATCTGAGAAGAGCAGAAAGGTTTATGCTACCAATCTGGATATGTGAAGCTCTGCCTGATGATTTTTACTTTTTTTTTTTTTTAAGCACAGTTTTACAAATTGTAATGTTATCAGACTTCCCACCCACCCTTGGAAAAAAAGCAAATGCACATGTGGATTAGACACCATTCTGCTGTTCTACCTGCTGGGCAGGGACAGTGCATGCACAAAGCATCTCTGGAGCTGCAGCTCCAACACCTGCAGGTAAAACCTGGCCCTGGCACCGTAGTGGGCCTTGGGAACAGCAAAAGGTGGCCTGTGGGAAAAAGGAGCAGGAAGGGCTCCTGATCTGGAAAAATACACCACAAAAAAAAAAAAAAATAGCTCGGGTCAAGAGGCAACATTCTGAGGAAAAGATCATGTCTTCACTTCTGCACTCGGAGCTCATGACACAGGGCAGATGGAGACGAGGGATGGCTACTCACCTGGAGAAAGGGCAGGAGCCGAGCGCTGGCAAGAGGGAGCAGTGACGCAAGGGACACACGTGGGGTGGCATGCAGGGGAAGCACAACAGACTGCCCAGAAGGGCTCGCAGCCGCAGAGGAAGGGCTAATGAAAGAGAGCTGGCAGGCGAGCAGGGAAAGCTGAATCACACTTACGACACGATGGAGACCAGTGGGTGGAACAACAGATGTAGTGAGGGTCATGGGCTTAGGCATGCTGGAGGTCTGCAGGTGGCCAAGTGGCCCTACGTGGCTCAAGACAAAGGTGACGACTGACTCCAGAGCGAGTCCGTGTTCTGAAGAGGAGAGGATGAGGAGGATGGGTTATGATGGTGACTAGTGATCTCTGGCTAATCCTGGCAGCTTCTTTCCCTAGGCTCCAAATAACCAGAACATTACAAATTTCCGTAAAATGAGGTAGGAGAGATAACGAATGCCAATTAAAAGACAAAAATGTACTAGGTCAGCATGAGATGGAGCAAGCCACTGCAGAAGGCTGGTTTGGTGGCATGACAGCTTCAAAGAACCAAGCTCCTCGTTTTATTCTCTTGGAATAAGTGCCTTTCCTGGCAGCAAGGCAGCAGGTAAGAAACCCATGCAAGGGAAGAGCAGACCAAGCCAGGTCCCACCCCATTTCAGTCAAAAAAGTGCATTCTCGTTGCAACAGGGGAAAATGCTTCTAATCAAGCTAAACGAGGTGGAGCTCAGTGATGAGAAGGATCATCAGCTCAGCTGGCAATTCATACGCCAGTGGAGGTAAGCAACAGAAACTCGTGGATTAATTACATCAGTATTACTGGTGGATTGTAGCCAGGCTTTAGTGGATGGAAATGATTTGGGTATGAATTAACAATGCAAATCACTCTTTGCTCTGGAAACATAAGTGCAGAAACATATGAGCGTGGCAGAAAATGCATGGCAGTAAAAGAAAAGAGGTAGAAAAAGGCAGAATATGTGACTGGGTGATGGCCCAAGCAGAGTGCTCTGAATGGATATAAACACCGAAGACAACCTACGCTGCAAGACTGCTTAGCATCTATAGGTACTACCTGTCTCCTCACTGGGTGGGGGGAAAAGAAAACAATAAAAACCAACCTTTTCCTGTTAGACACTAACGTTACCTGACAGAGTGTCAAATAATAATCAGTTTGAGTATGAAAAAAAGGTTTTCCTTTCCATTTTGTATGTTCAGATTGAGTGCATTTGGTTCAATATGAAAACATCACCTTTTTCTCATCTACGTTAATTATCCAGATCCCTTGCCAAACCTAGTATCTTCCAGCAAAGGTGGAAGAGAGAGATGGGCAGAGCTGAGACTTGCTCATCTTACCTGTAATACTTTGCCCTGTGGGCTCTCAGCAAACAGTAACACCTGATTGTACAAAGGATCTAATGATTTGCGAGCCACTTTTGTCTTCTTTTTCGCAATGCACACGCCATTCTCTAGCAGGTAAGCTTTGATGTAAGCAGCTGGAAAAAATAAATATGGTCAAATATGAAAAAAACGTCATGCTCACTTTAGAAAAGACAGAGTGCCATGTCTCAGGTATTTCTAAAGAAGGCATTTACAGCCGTGAAAAGATTTGCTCAACCAGCCTTATTTTGAATAGGGCATACAGACTGCTTAGTTCTGCAGAAGCCAAGCAAAATTAATTTTTTTCCTATTCACAAGCATCGCAGGAGGCTGGGGGTCAGTGAATTACTTTAGGAGGTCAAAGCATACTACCTGGCAGTGTTTTGGAGCCGGGCTTTGGTGTCAGTCCTCGAGCCTGAATGATATCCACTTCTAGCTGCCCATTTCGCTCTTGCAAGCCAATTTCCACATCCCCTAAACCAAAATGTCAAAATAGACAGAAGACTTTCAAAACGATATGCCTGTGGGCTACTAGGACGTTATCAAAAAGAACAATCCTCATGTCATTCCTGCTAGAGCTGCAACAAACTGCAGGCCCTGAGTGCCTGATCTCCTCCTGCGTTATTCTGGAGCAGCTCTGCAGTGACTCAAGCCCACATTTTCAAAAGCAATCTCTAATGTCACCCCTCTAACACGGCTTGGGGTGACTCAGTCTCACACTCTTCAGTGGCAGCCACCCTCTCACCTCTCCCAAACTGGAGTGCCTAGAGCTGCAGGCTGCTTTGGAAAATGCAATTAAGGTGGACCATAAGAAAATCTTTACAGAGCCTGGCGGGCCTTAGAAAGCAAGTAAAACACAAAGATGCACAGGATGCATTTTGAGGATTTTAGCTGCGTTTTACTTAGTCTGTGCCTTTTGGATCTGACAGAGGAAAGCATAAAGCTGGTGCTCTCCTACCAACACCGCATTGGCAGCGATCAGCAAAACCTTCCAGCCAATCTTGCTTGATTTAACAGAGAAACGGAGCAGAGGAGTGGTAGAGCAGCAGATGCTGGACACATTATTAGGTGGCTTGTAGGAGCAGTCTGTTCAAGATTAAATTAAAGCTACCTAACATCTTTGTGTGCCTTACCCATCGAGGTGGTGGCCAAGGTCTGACGCCCAACAAATTGTGCAGGGCCCATGCTCCCCAGGAAGTCACTAAACTGCCCAGCAGATGCCAGATGGACTCCACTGAAATTCAAGCTGCAAGAGAAATTGATTTTGGCAAGTGGTTAATTTGCATTTTAAAGCAATCCAGTAACTAAAGAACCAGATTTAATACATCGTTGAAATGAATGACATCTACAGAAGCCTTTTTCTCTTACAAAACTCCCTGATTTCCTGGCAGTTTAGTTACAAAGAATCCATTTAAAAACTCTTTACTTGTTAAAAAAAAAAAACCCAAATCAGTAATGGTTGCAGTCACCAGCTGGTTAATACTTGTTCAACTATAACTAATTGTCTGTAATGAAAATCTCTGCCATCTCAGGCTCATATGCAGCCTGTCACCTATTCCAGATAGCATTAGAATCTAAGCAGCTTCCTAGTACAGCTCATAGGATCTCTCCTGGTAGCTGGCCCTTCCCAGTCATCATTTCGGGGCAGGGGGGGAATAATGTCTCTAGAGCAGCAGTTAAAAGTGAACTGAGGGCTGCTGGCATCAATCCCATTGGCACTTAATTCCCTATTTATTTCTTACACACACAGAGCGATGCATCTCCTTCTTGATGAGAAGACCCCACTTCTTACTGCTCAACACCAGAAGCACCCATCACATCCACTGTGCAGTTTTTATACCTGCTTCCACAACCAGGTCTGAAGTGATCATGAGGAAGACTTGAAAACTGGTGCAAGGCTAAAGGGACAACACCTTGAAACACCAGCAATGACTCTGCTGCAGTCACTGCAGCAAAACATGGGGACACAGCCTCCAGATCTATTCACCAGGAACCTAAGGCTGATCTACAGCATGGCTACAGGTGCTGGTCACCCACTGGACACGGGTGAAGCAACTCAAAAGGGTCAAACCCTGTGGGACATTGATACAAATCAAGGTTTACCCAGTTGTACCCCCATTTACGCAGCTGTTATCACCGGCTGTGGGAAACCTTGCTGCCCTGCTTGCTGTGAATGTTTAAGGAGGAGGCTTGAGGCCACCATTCGACACTGACTTTTGTCCTGCAGGCATCTGCTGAACTGAAACACAGCTGGTGAAACACAGGTCAGGGGCTTTGTGCCAGGCTACCCATGCTACCGCGCTGGGTTTTGCTCCAGGGAAGCTGCTGCACACCGAGGTCAGGCACAATTAGGAACCTCCTGCACTCTTCCAAATGTCCTTGGCGGGGGACAATTACCCACATCATGACACAGCTCCCTGCTGCCCCAAATTCACTTCTTACAAAGGAATATGGCGGGGAGGCTGCATGTTCAGTAGGAATGAAGCCGGAGAGGGAACCCTGCCTGCAGGGCGGGCTGGGGACCGTGGGCTCTCACGCAGCCTGAGTCAGCCACAAAGACTCATTGATTCCCCCCTGCAAGCCAGTTACATTTAAAAGACATTTTAAAAAAAAGAAACTCTTTTAAACCCTATTCAGCAAAAAGGGCGTTAATTTCAGGTTGGGATTTCAGCTCTTATTAGCTATTTGCAGAGCTGGTCTCAGCCCCAGGGGAATATTTATTTATTCCTATGAGGAAGGAGGAAGGCAGCACACACACCTCAGCATCTTGCCACGCACGGGACTGAAGAGGAGGTGTCAGTGGCACATGTCCTTGTGACAGCTTCATGGGGTGGCTCAGCTCACTGTGACAGGGGCACTGAATGAAATGGCCAGACTTTTCCACGCAGCACCGCACCTCCCCTCCGCGCTGACCCGGCTCCCGGAGAAACCTGGTTATCGCTGCTACACAGGGAGCTGCTGAGCCTCCAGCGTGGAAAATCCTGCCCTTGAGCTCTTTACAAATGTCACCTTTGTGAAGAGGGATGACGGAGGAGGGAGCCTTGGTGTCCTGGAAGACAGGCTTGGGAGGGGCTCTGCACAGGGTGGATTTTCCCTGGCTTGGTGTTTTTTCACCCTGCGTTCACTCTTTGCACAAACACTCCAGGTGATATTTTGAGATACAACAGGAACAGCAGGATTTATAATTGGCATTATTTACAGAGAAAGCTTAATATTTTTCTCAGCTTTCAGGGTCACCGACTCCTCAGGTGCACATCCTCAGTGCCACTGTCCATCCTGGCAGCGTGGGGTGCCCTGTGGGTCCCCAACTCCTGCCCCATCACCCAGCTGTATCTGCTGGTCCCAAAGGGACAGACCCCCGTGGGGAGCAGCGTCCTACGCACGGGAGCAGGGGAGAGATGCTGGGTGTGCAGCAAGGCTGCTGGGGACAGACTGCACGGAGATGTCCCCAGGCTGGTAAATCTGCAGGGACAGGGACGTGATGGGGAAAGCAGGGAAAAGGGGAGCCCGGAGCCAGGAGGGCTTTATCAGGCTCATGATTTGCCCATACAAGGAGGGAAGAAGTGAGTCCTGGTGCACGCAAAGACCAACGAGACTCGTGGAGACTGCTGGCTCGGGCGTTTTGAGCTGCCCATAGAGGGTCAAAAACCGATGAAAACTAGTGCTTAGAGAACCCAAAATAGTTCAAGAAAAAAGGAGACCTGACAGAGAAAGACATAAGATTCAGCAGGAGATGAATGGACTATCAGCCAGAAGGTAAATGTTTTCTTTGTTCTCCTCAATTCATGGAAGATAAATGGGCAGAGCCTGGGTCTCACTCCTACCCTGGGGAGTATGTGACCTGAAGGAGCACGTAAATAACAAGCTGGCAAGACAACCCACAGCCGTTCAGGGAAATGTTCGCTCCAAACAGATGCTCGGGCTCATTAACAAGATGCTGAGGACCAGGAGAGCAGAGGGGAAGCCCAGGCCTGAGTCAAGCCTAGCACTGAGAGAGCCCGCAGCATATTCAGAACCGGGTGACAGAGACATCCCTCTCTGGGGTGAAATCTGGCTGCATTATTGCAGTGGGGACACAAAGCTGGGAGAAAACACCCACAAAAACTCCACCCGCTGCAGGGCAGCAAAGAAGAGACACCCTTCTGGCCCCTGAATACTCAAAATAATTCACAAAACCTGCCACAGGGGACCACCTCCCCTTACCTGCTGGGGAGAGAATCACGTCAAAGGCTGATGCCAAGTATTTGTGCTCGATACACACGTGGAGAGAAACCACCCGCGCTCTCGCACACCAGCTCAACCTCCTCTGGGCAAACACCGCTCCCAAAGGCTCTGCCCAGCAGCTGGGGCAGCTCTGGAAGAAATAAAAGCACCTGGTAACGGAGCAGCTGATGCCACAGCCAACATCAGTGCCAGCAAAACAGCAGGAGAGCATGAAGAACCATGTTGAAAAGCACAAGAACAAGAGCTGTTGGGCTAAAGGTGAACCACCAACAACTGGTAGTGTTTACCCCAAAGCAAACGTTGCTGTTACCTCCCTACAGATGGAGAAGTCAGAGGGCTGAGGATGACCTCGAAATGAGGAATGCTCCTCAGTGCAAACTACAGGGAGAGGGCAGGACACCAGCATGGACCCTCCCAAGGAGAGCAATGAAGCTGCTGCTGCCTTGGAGCACCGAGGCAGATGTCGAGAGGAACGGCAAAAGCCCACTTGAAAACGCAGGCCAAGGTCAAGGCTCCGGCAGTTTGGCTAACAGCCTCAGTTAATAGGTTTACCAGCACTATATGAAACTCAATATTAGGTTAGACAGTTAATGCTCCCCGCTCTTGTTAGATTTGACTGGGAAGGGAAGATGTAGGGAATAAATTCTTTAATAGATTATGCCATTAGCTGGTGGGACCGGCTGCTCTGTTGCACAGAGGCTGACCTTTTGCGATGCTGCTTTATTAGACATTAGAAGCAGCAGCTCTAAATCAGGCTCCTTGGCTTTGACTGATTCCTGGACATATATTTGGGTATTGCCAATAACCCTGGAATGGAAACAATTTCTGCCTGGAAAAATCATAAGCTACCTCCAAGAAAGCCATTGCTTCTCCCTTGAGAGGAGAGGGGAGGGGAAAATAAAGCTGCAGAAATTTAGTATGAATGTGAATTAAAACCAGCAGGAACCATTTAGCTGCATTGGCTAAATTTAGGATGCTCAAATCCAGCTCAGTGAGCTCTGTCTGTCAAGTGCTCGGGGAGAAGCTGGGATGCTGAGGTGAGGGGGCTGCGTACGGTGTGATTCTGAGATTGGTGGGACAGAGCTTCCCCCTCCACTCACTCGCTTCTCCTGCAGCCGAAGAAGGGACCTCCTCTGGGCAAACACCGCTCCCAAAGGCTCTGCCCAGCAGCTGGGGCAGCTCTGGAAGAAATAAAAGCACCTGGTAACGGAGCAGCTGATGCCACAGCCAACATCAGTGCCAGCAAAACAGCAGGAGAGCATGAAGAACCATGTTGAAAAGCACAAGAACAAGAGCTGTTGGGCTAAAGGTGAACCACCAACAACTGGTAGTGTTTACCCCAAAGCAAACGTTGCTGTTACCTCCCTACAGATGGAGAAGTCAGAGGGCTGAGGATGACCTCGAAATGAGGAATGCTCCTCAGTGCAAACTACAGGAAGAGGGCAGGACACCAGGGGTTGTCCATGGACCCTCCCAAGGAGAGCAATGAAGCTGCTGCTGCCTTGGAGCACCGAGGCAGATGTCGAGAGGAACGGCAAAAGCCCACTTGAAAACGCAGGCCAAGGTCAAGGCTCCGGCAGTTTGGCTAACAGCCTCAGTTAATAGGTTTACCAGCACTATATGAAACTCAATATTAGGTTAGACAGTTAATGCTCCCCGCTCTTGTTCGATTTGACTGGGAAGGGAAGATGTAGGGAATAAATTCTTTAATAGATTATGCCATCAGCTGGTGGGACCGGCTGCTATGCTGCACAGAGGCTGACCTTTTGCGATGCTGCTTTATTAGACATTAGAAGCAGCAGCTCTAAATCAGGCTCCTTGGCTTTGACTGATTCCTGGACATATATTTGGGTATTGCCAATAACCCTGGAATGGAAACAATTTCTGCCTGGAAAAATCATAAGCTACCTCCAAGAAAGCCATTGCTTCTCCCTTGAGAGGAGAGGGGAGGGGAAAATAAAGCTGCAGAAATTTAGTATGAATGTGAATTAAAACCAGCAGGAACCATTTAGCTGCATTGGC